GGATTTGAGGGAGAAAGAGTGGATCCCGCTGCCACTCTCTCTTGCTGGAGATCTGTAGATTGACCTCTGATCTGTAGATATGTAAACCCTGACTATCTGTAGGGGAATTTCTTTTACATTTTTTTTTTTATGGAACAACCTCACTATTTTAGTTATATTGGAGTGTTTTGAGAAGTTGGTAAAAAGCTGGCTTTTGGCTTTTTATCAAGCTTTTTGGCTTTCTTAGAAAGTAATTTGGGAAGTTGGTAAAAAGCTAGCCTTTTGCTTTTTGGTTTAATATTTGTTTATGTCGTCAAATCACTTTAAAATGACCAAAATACCCTTAGCCAACTTATGAAATTTATGATTTTGCCCTTATGTATTTGAACACTTTTTAATGTAATATTACAATTTTTCAATGTTATGCAGTGCAAATTATTTAATTATTAATTATTATTATTCTATGTTACACTACACATCACAGTAAAATTATTAAATTATTCAATGTCATATTAAATTTATTATTTTTTGCCAAGAAATTGCGCTCTTACATTAATTCATTTTCACATTAGAAGCTGTTAAATGCCCTTCACAACCTTGTAGATACCCCATTTTTGACCGACCTTAAGATTTAGACGTCACTGATTGAGCGCTCAGTGATGTTGCATGTTGTGCTCGTTTTGAGGTTTCCGAGTCTCGGCTGCGAGTCTTGCCTCCAGACTTCCGGACTCTTTCGTGCCTTGCCTCAGTTTGCAAACCAGACTCTGTTTTCTCTGTTTTCTCTTCCAGAAGGGAGAGAGAGGTCTCGCAGATCATCTCTCAATGGCCGTAGGCTACGTTTCGTGGTCGTAGGTCATTTTTCCCGTTTGGAGCCCGAGTTCTGGTTTTTCGGAGCCGACGGCCGTGTGCCTCGGTTCAGAACCGCCTAATCACCTCCGCTTGTTCCGGTTTTTGGCATACACCTTATTTCCTCCCTTTTGAGGAACACTGGGGTCCGAGAGACCAACTTCGTGGTCGAACGCCACCTCCGGTGCTTAACAGCCCATTTTCGGGGCCCCAGGCCACGCGTTTCGATCCCCGAACCTCCATTTTGCATCCGTTCTGGTTCATTTTTGGTGGAGGCCTTATTTTCATAGTTAGGAAGCTTGTAGGAGGGTAGGAGGCCTGCAATTGTTCGGAAAAGCCAGCTTTATTTCTTCATCACTCTCCGACGCCCGTTTTCCTCACTAGAAAGTCAATGTTGACCACCCCGAAACCATTTTCTTGAACCCTAAACCCCATATTTGTGTTGTATACACCTGGGAGGCCGCCAATATTTGGCGGTCGACCAGTAATTGTGCCTGACCCTTTTGATCCCCTTTAAAAAATGGTCTTTTCTCTCTCCTGGTTCACTCTTTTTTGGTTTCAACTACATAGTTGTGTTGTGTACACATGGGAGACCACCTTTTTGAGGTGGCCGACCAGTAATTATGCTTGACCTTTTGACCCTTGGTCGGCCGGCCATGGGAGGTGGTTGGCCGGCCCCCTAAACCTTCTGAACCTGGCCGGCCATGACCCCTACACCTTGTTCCTTCCAGCTGTGACCTCTTTTCCCCCCAGATCCTGTATCCGATGGGGACTCTTTTGGGGGGGAAACTTGAATTTGATTTTTCCACCATTTTCCTCCATTCCTTTGCCTATATAACCAGCCCCTCAGCTGCATTTTCAAGGGTTACAAAAATTGTTTTAAGGCCTTTGCATTAAATCTCTCTCTCTCTCTATTCCAACCTTCAAAACCACCTTGCTCCTACAGCATTTCTACATCAACCCATAGCATAAGGCCTCCATCCTCTATTCCAGAAACTTGAGGCTGCTTTCCAGAGGTCAAGAGCTCCCAAACTTGGTCCAAGAGCTGCTGGTCCATTGGTCTACAAGAGTGAGTCCCATTTTTCCTCTTTTGTGCCTTATTTTTCTTTGTATCTAAGCCGTACTTGCTTGCTTTTTTGGGCTCCGACCCAAACTGTAAATAGTCATATTTTAAGCCCCTTTTCATGTTTGATTAAGGGTCTTTCTCTGTTTGAGACCTCCAGCTATCACTTACTTCTTTAACTCTCTTTTAGGCCTTATTTTTGCATAGTATTTTAGGCCTATTTTTGAGTTGTTTTGGACTCTTCCATAAACTGTGAAATATCTTGTTTTGAGCCCCTCTTAAACATTGTTGAATGGCTATCATCTTTTTGAGGCCTCCTGCTATCACTTGCTTCTTTATCTCTCTTTTAGGCCAATTTTTGCATAATATTTTAGGCCTATTTGTGAGTTGTTTTGAACTTTTCCATAAACTGTAAAATATCTTGTTTTGAGCCCCTCTTCAACATTTTTGAAGGGCTCTCCTCTGTTTGAGGCCTCATGCTATCACTTGCTTCTTTATCTCTCTTTTAGGTCAATTTTTGCATAGTATTTTAGGCTCATTTGTGGGCTGTTTTGGACTTTTCCATAAACTGTGGAATATCTTGTTTTGAGCCCCTCTTAAACTTTGTTGAAGGGATCTCATCTGTTTGAAAATAGCAGCTACCACTTGTCTCTTTACCCCTCTTTTAGGCCTTTTCTTGCATGATAGTTTGGCCTTATTTGTGATTATTTTCGTGGCTTGATGTAAAATGAAAAGTGCCTTTTTTTGAGCCCCTATTAAACTTTGTTGAAGGGCTCTTTACCATTTGGGGCCATCTGCTGTCCCTTTGTGTTTAATCTCTCTTTTGGGGCCATTTTTGCATGATAGATTAGCCCTATTTGCATTCATTTTTGGGACTTGTTATAAACTGGAAATATGCATGTTTTTAGACTGTCTTGCATCTGTCTTCATGCTTCATGATCAAATAATGCATGTTTTGTATAGCTATAGGCCAATGCGTATGCCTAGTTTTGTGTTTCGGGGCCATTCCATGCATCGGGTGCCATGTTTCCATGTTTCGGGATCATTTTGCATCACATTTCAGTGCTAAAACTTGCATGTTTGTATGTCATATTTCGTGCCTTGCCATGCCATGTTAGAGTGGCATTCGTGCCTTAGGATCGGTCCTCGGTTTGCGTGTATGTGTGCACACATGTCGAGTGTCTCATTTTCATCTCATGGTTACTGATGTGAGTGTGGCTGAGGTCCACTCATGTTGGTGTAAGTCCATTGTGCATCGTGTATGCCATTTCATTCCATAGCATTGTGTATGCTAGGTTGTATGTTAGCGCATTGTGTATGCCTTGTTACATCGTGCATTGTGTATGCCATTTCATAGCATGTGCATGCTTAGGTTGTTATTAGTTGCATTCATGCAGTCAGGCATATTGCATTGTGTTGGGATAGGAGTTAGCCCGAGCACGGGAAACGAGGGATGTTTCGTGCTTCGAGTGACGGAACGTGTCTCAATTCCCGGTCATCGACACTCCGGATTATCCATGATTGAGGTTTAGGTCTTGTTGTGTTACATGTGCATTCATTTCATATTGAGTCATGCAATTCGACTCCTCGGCCATCATGCATCGATATGCGTGATTGGTGGCAGAGGATCGAGGACTACACTCCCCGAAAAAGTAGTCATGCATACATATGTGAAACATACTTTGCCATGCCCCTTGTTGCTCTCTGTTGCAGCAAATAAAAATCGACAGCCTTCCGGAGCTTGGCAAGCGTTCCAAGAACAATTGCAAACAGAGGCAAACCGGGGCATCGCGAGGGATTCTCCGCACAAGGCAACCCGAGCATGCATCATTCATCATCCAGAGCAGATTCGAGTCAGTCCCTGGCTTGCATGCCAATTTATTGCTTTCCTAATTTAATTTGTTAATTAATTAGGGTTTTGTACATATTTGGACTGTAATTATTCATTTGGAACTGCATATTATTTATTCGGACCCACTGCGCGAGGGCAATGTTGTAATAAGTGTGCGTATGTGTGATGTATGTCTTCCAACCCCACGTCTTTCTCCCTTTTATTTACCCGCTTATGATGGTTAGATTAGGGCATGTTTCAATTAGCATATAGTATGGTAGCATGTTTGCATTCATTCATCTGTTTTGCATGCACTGGGCTCGGCGCATCTTACTAACTGCATTGTATTTTCAATTCCAAGTTGAATACATGTTAGCTGTAGCATGCCATATGCCATATCTAGAATAGCCGAGCCTGCTATAGTTGCATTTTTGCATGCGTTACATTAGGCATTTCTGTATAATTAGGATCATGCATGGATTTCTAATTAGCTTCTGTTTTGGCTTGGAGTACTCGGTAAGTTTTATGCTTTAGCATCCTTTCATGCGTGTGAGTGACTGCCATGATAGCATGCTTACCATGAGGAATTTGGTTAAGAAATAAAAACTGCCTGAGTGCCTGTGGGTGAAGGTTGGGTTATTGGATGGAACAAAATTCAATCAAATGTGTGTTTTAAGCCCACTAGATAGTGGCAAAATCATATTTTCTAAGCCCAACCTAGGGTGGCAAATCCACGTCTTAGCCTATTTACGGGTAGCACCATTCAAACCATTTCAACACAACAAAACATGAAATGTTTTGTTCCAATTCAGGCATCCAGTCATATACTTGTATGCTGTGTGCATCACATAGTAACCTAGGCTAATAACCGGATTAAGGACACACAAAGTTTTCAAAAATATATATCATGGTTAGTAGAGGCCGATCTTTGATCTGGCGAGCGGGGGTGCTCACGAAGTGACCTTCCCCAATCGTACCCAAGTTCCCGAGCCGAGGCAACTTTGGTGATGACGGACACGTGGCCTTAGGCAAACGAGTCAGGGTTTCCTAAATTTTTCCAAAATAAAACAGTTAGGTGGCGACTCTGTATCTGGCAAAGCAATCCATGTTTAGCACTTCTTTCAAAATCTGTTTTCTCAAAACGATTTGCCGGATTTGGACTCTTTGATTTAGATTGAGAACCGTGACAATTTGAGTCCTGAACTTTAGTGAGCCCAATACGAACGGAACGGGGGGACCTCATCCCTCCCGGGGCGTTCGGGGACGTCTACAAACCTGCAGTTTACAAACATAACCGTACATTTTTTTTAACGCTTTCAACAGTTTGTCACATTCATTTCGTTTACCATCAACTCGTACAAACCGAACAAGATTACAACCCAAGTTCATGCCGATGTCGCATTAATTCATTCCGTATTGATTTCCTCACTTTGTTTATATGTACGTCATTATCGCCCTCTGGTTCACCATCATCGTCGTCACCAACACCCGCAACATTTGGCATGTCGTTGAAAGTAAAATTCTCTACATTCGCAACCGTATTGAACGCTTCATCGTCGTTGGAGTTGCGGTGTATAAAATTATGTAGTGCCATTGAAGCCCCGACCAATGGCACCAACACTTTCCCAAAATCATGTCGCGGCATGTTATGTAAGAATCCCCATCACGCTTTCCATACTCCGAAAGTACGTTCAATTGCACTCCGTAAGGAGCAGTGCACCATGTTGAAAACTTCATTTGCATTTTGTGGCCGTCCAGTTGCGCGAAACTCTCCCTGGTGGTAGCGGCATCCCTTAAACGGCGCCAAAAAGCCTTTTGGTTCTTGTACCCCACATCAACAAGGTAATATTTTCCTGCTTGTAATTTGATAATTTTGCATTAGTAAGTAGCATCATTACAAATATCAAATGCACACAAGTAATACAAAAAATTGACCAACCCTTATTCATCTAACCTTCTTCTGGCATGAGGAATTGTTTGGTTGAGTCCTGTTTTACTTCATTAAAAACTCTGTTGTCGTGCATACTATCCTCCCATCCGCAAGATATAAAAGTAAAAGATAAGTCGAAATCACACACTGCGAGTATGTTTTGCATGTGTCGTCCTTTACGGCCAAAATATGGCGCTGCCTCCTGCGGCGAGAGATGTGCCTCCACATTAGGGGTGTCCGCGGTTCAGTTTTGGACGGTTTGCGGTTCGGTTTGGACCCGCCCGCATGTATGCATTTTGGGGAAAATTCAACCCGCAACCGCCCGCAGTGCGGTTTGTGAGGATAGGGTTCGTGGATGTGCGGGCGGTTACTGGCAGTTTGTGGTTTGGATATTTTCTTTTAAAAATTAATTTTTGAGTTTTTTTCTCCCATTTCAATGCAAATTCAAAAAAAAATTCATATTCAATTCAGATTATAAAAAAAAAACAGATTCAATTTCATTCAGATTCAATTCAAATTATAAAAAAAAATCAGATTCAATTTCAAAAGAAAAAAATCCGATTCAATTTCAATTTAGATTCAATAACACCCACCCAGAGAAGTAACAGAATAAGTAATTAACAGAGTAACAAAATAGTAGAATTCAATTTAAAAAATAACAGAATAGCAGCAGCAGAATAGCAAATTCAATTCAGATTCAAAAAAAATTTCAGATTGAATTTAAATATAACAGAATAGTAGCAGATTTCAGATTCAATATCCACTTCTAAAATTCAATTCAGATTCAATTTAAATATAGCAGAATAGCAAATTTCAGATTCAATATCCACTTCTGAAATTCAATTAAAATCCAAACAGACAAACCCATCCACCAGATTCAATCCACTTTGGCAATATCATATGACTTCTTTGAGATTCATAAGCTTTTGCACTCATTAGCTTGTGCTTACACCAAGAAAAGTCAGCGTGAAACACACCCTACGAATTATTAACAAATCAAATTTTATTTTTTAAATGGAAAAAAACTTAAGATCCAGTTTCTTTGTACACTTTGTGAAGTAAATTTGTTTTCACTTTTTATTTCCCCCAACAATTTTATTATTTATTTTTTTAAGAAATGAAAATTCAAACATAATATAAACTTCTCATGAACAAATTGTAGAACTCTTAATCAAACAAAATTTTGAAACAACAACAGATCAGACTTCAGATTAGACTATGAACGAAATTTTGAAACAACAACAGCAAAGTGTATGTGCGGGCACTCAAATTAAAGTTTACTTGCAATTGTAAACCAAAGACTTGTTTATTTATTATTATTATTTTAATAGACCCAGACCTGCACTCAAAAACAAAAACACAGGCATATCGATTGTGACGGTCCATTACGAAGACAGAGAGAGCCTTATCTCAGAGTTACCAGAGAGTGAGAGAGTCGATTGCGAAGGTTGATCGTCACGTACGAGCTGTGCAAATGAAAAATGAGAGAGAGATTAGAAGATGAAGGTCGATCGATGCGAGTTGTGCAGCTGAAAAATGAGAGAGTGTGAGACAGATCTGATTGCAAAAAAAAAAACAGAGATCGGGGAGAGAGGGTGAGACAGAGATAGAGATACAAATCACAGATTGGGAAGAGAGAGCGAGACAAAGAGAGCCTTACCTCAGAGTTGCCACAGAGAGAGAGAGTTGATTGCGAAGGTCGATCGTCGCAGATGAAAAACGAAAGAGAGATGAGATAAGAAGATGAAGAGAGCTCTCTCTCAGTGCTCTCAGTGAGATTAGGGTTTTGTTTTGTTCTCAATTGGTTTTGTTTGGGGCAAAAAATATCTATGGATGATGGAATAGGAACGGTCCAGCTTTTTTCAAAAAAAAAACAAGTGCAGGCGGTTGTGGCGGTTGTGGCGGGTGCGGGTCAAACCTGTAACCCGCCCGCAACCCGAAAAATTGAAATATTTCAAACCGCACCCTACCCTATTGTATTTGCGAAACCGCCCATACATGTGCGAGTAGGGTCCGGTATGGCCGGTTATGCGGATCGGATAACCCTATGCCCAGCCCTACTCCACATGTGTGCCGTCAAGCGCGCCAATACAGTTCTGCACAAGCACACAAAGCAATTGCATAAATATAAAGGAGAAATGCTTTGACCCGAAAAATGTTCTCCCTTATTTTCTGAATATTGTTACTATTCATAATTAAATGTGCGAAAAATTATTACACTCACTCTGAATGGCAAATATTTTCGTCAGGACTCTAAGTACGGATGTCTATTGTGTTGTGACCTTGTCGGTTCAACAGTGTGCAATCGTGAACAACTTCATCACTTTAAGAACTCGCATTACATGACGCCATATTGTTTCCCCCGAGTGTTGGAAATGGTCTTCTATATCCAAACTCGGAAAGCCTCGCAACACGAATATGAACATGCCAACACTGTCAACTACATCTATACCATGGGGACGCTGTGGTACTGGGAGGCTGCAATCCTCAACTAATGTCTTACACAACATTAAGAACACATCCTGTGACATCCGAAAAGTTCACTGAAATGCTTCATTCTGACCTCGAAGCATCTCTCGCATCCACATACGACCAATCAATGATGATCTGTGAAACGGAGTCCTGTCAACATACGCATACTTATTGGCAACGCGAGCAATTTCCACCCAAATCATTGATGTCGTCGATTCTATTTCCCCGATCGTCTCTTAATTAAGGCCGAATTGTACATCATTGAGGCCGTTAATTAGGATCTCTTAACTTCACTTGCTTGTCAAACTGTATACTTTATGTGTGTTGAATGTCAATCAGGTTGTACATAGTCAGAGCATAAAATGGGAAAAAAGACAGAATTTGGAGAGAGTACAAATTCCCGCACGTGCGTTGACTTTGTCCACAAGTGCGTTGACTTTTCCGCACATGCGTTGACTTTTTCTGGGAAAACGTGTCAGATGTTTTAAACCAGTTTGGAAAGACACCTGAAGTATAAATAGGCAAGAAAAAGGCTGGATTAGGGTTCTGAAGTTGTTTTCGAAAAGAGAGAGAGCCTAGGGTTTGGAAAGAAAGGAACTTGAAGCTTTAAGCATGTCTCCCATGGTGGCTTCTTCTCCATCTATCTCCTTACACTACTCCATGAGTGGCTAGTCTTATTTTCTAGGGTTTTGATGAAACTCTAGCCATGTAATTAGTTTTTTTTCTTTTGATTTTCAATTATGTAAAGGTTTGAACAATTGTATGGTGTTTTAGAAGTTATATATATATATATATATATATATATACATTTTCCATTATTTCTTCAAATATTCGGCTTTCTGTGATTGTTGAATGTTTTTCATATAAAAGTTTTCTATTATTTCACATTCAAGGTATGAGACGGACCATACTACGAGGGACGAGTCGTGTCACTACCCTAGTTTAGAGTGAACGATTCGTACTACTTGAGATGGTTCGTGCTCGTACATTGAACGTGATGATTTTCTTGTTAAATGCAAAGCATTATCCCGTTCGAACCATAACATAATTGATTTCAATTGGAAACCCTATTTACGTGACTAGTGGTGGACTCTTTGCCCTAAGTTTTTCCCCAATTCAATAAATCCAATTTTATTTATAATTGATCATTTAATTACTTAGTTTAATTTATTTGTTATTAAATTAGGTTATAAACAATCAATCTTTTCATCAAAAATTAATTTAGGAATTTAAGAATTAAATTAGTTTAATTTCACAATTGTCCTTGTGGATCGATACCTAGACTTGTCATTATTTTAATAAAACTTGGTATAGTTTTGTGTTTAATTTTGGTGTGTTCAATAACCCATCAAATTTTGGCGCCGTTGCCGGGAACTTCTGGCAAAATTAATTAATTTAAAAGTTATATTCTTATTTTAATTTTTAGTTTATGATTTTATGCTTTCGTGAGTGTAAGTGGAGTGCAACCGAGCTTAATAAAAAAAAACCCGCAGTACTAAAGTGCTTAAACAGAAGCAAACACTCGCAAGCAAAGCACCAAAGTGCTAAAAAGAAAAAAACCGCTCAATTAAAGGTTGGAGACAATGTCTACACGTCAAGCACTCGCAAGACGAGTAAAGCGTTTTCGTTAAACTGCTGTGAGTATTTCTCCCTTTGGTATTTTGCTTTCGTAACTTAATGCACAGAGTCGAAATTTTTTGTGTGGGTGTGAGTAGTGTATGCACGGGCGTCGTTCTTGTCGCCCTGAATTGTGGAGTTTAGACCTTGAACTAGAAAGGACTCTTAGGGGATTTAGTGCCTCTGCTCGTGTTTCTAGGCTTGAATATTCATATTCATACATTGAGCCATTAGAGATGGAAAACCAAAATGTCCCGAATGTGTCCAACCGGACCCTTAAGGATTATTTCACACCCACTGCATATACATCACCATCATGCATCCAATTACCCAACACCACTGCTGCTCATTATGAGATTAAGTCCAGCACCATACAAATACTCCCATCATTCCATGGACTAGCTCATGATGATCCTTACAAACATTTGAATGAATTTCTAGAAATTTGCTCGACAGTGAGGATTTAGAATTTCACAAATGAGGCCTTAATGTTGTGATTGTTTCCATTCTCATTAAAGGATAAAGCTAAACACTGGCTGAATTCCTTACTTGATAATTCAATCACAACTTGGGACCAATTACAGCAACGGTTCTTGGAGAAGTACTTTCCCATAGGTAAAACCTACCAACTTAGGTGAGCCATCACCAATTTTGCTCAGATGGATGGCGAGCAATTCCATGAGACGTGGGAAAGACTTCGAGACCTTCTCTAACAGTGTCCCCACCACCAAGTGCCTGATTGGCAACTTGTTCAAACATTTTATTATGGCTTAACTGAGCCGCATCGCCAAATGGTGGATTCATCCTGTGATAGGACATTCATGTCCAAAAATTATACCGAGGCATGGCAATTGTTTGAGAACCTAAGTGATAATTCCTTTCACCATGCCTCCGCAACCTGGCAACTCTGGCAACCAGTAGTTGGAGCCCTAAAAAGAGGGGGCATTTATGAGGTCAGGCAAAACCTAGAGTTAGCCCAACAAGTAGAGGCACTGTCCCACAAAATGAACCAATTATTAGCTTGGGGGCATGCCCCTACCCAGCAAGATCAGTCTCAATTTCATGAGGCATGTGTTATTTGTGCGAGCCCTGCTCATGACTTGAGTGAGTGCCCTTCAGCATCACAATTTTCGGAGTTAGTCCAAGAGCATGTGAATGTGGCTCAAGGATTCTCCAACCTGGGTAATGATCCATACTCCAACAAATACAATCCGGGATGGAGAAATCACCCTAATTTTTCAT